ACCAGCCCAATAATAAAAGACGCATTTAGGGCTCAATCGTAAAATAGAAGACGCTTCTTTTAGAATCATTACGGTAAATATGTATCTAAAACCTATATCTAGAAAAAGAAATCTATCCATAACTAGAAATTTAAAAATTTCATGATCCCTATGCATGAGATTTCTGAGCCACTCAAAATATTCATTTTGGCACCACAACAACCCCTAGGAGCCACTAGAAATTCTGAGAAACTCGAGCTGAAATGACTTTTTTTCCAAACACTTTATTCCTTATTTAAAGTAGTATACAAAATACAACTAAATCTACTGATTCTACAGGATTCACAAGCCTTTCCAATTCTTGGCAAAGGTGTCAATACTACAAATCGATCGATTCCACCAGCGGCACTTCCATCAAATCTGCTAAAGTGGATATTATTATTAATGTCATGTATTAATGGATATTATTAATGGCACCTCGAAAGGCTAAGTGACGTGAATAAATTGAAAAAGATTGTATTTTTATAGACAAAAACCGAGAACTGATATTTTCAATCAGAAGAAATCAAAAATTTCGATAGATATAAGTAATTTTTGAATGTAATTGAATGAAATTGGATGAAATTGGATGAAATTAAATGGAATTGAATGAAATTAAATGAAATTAAAAGGAATTTAATGAAATTTAATGAAATTTAATGAAATTATGAAATTTAATGAAATTGAATGAAATTAAATGAAATTGAATGAAATTAAATGAAATTTAATGAAATTTAATGAAATTTAATGAAATTAAATGAAATTGAATGAAATTAAATGAAATTAAATGAAATTTAATGAAATTTAATTCAATACACTTCTCACATTATTTAAAGTCTCATCACGAAAAAGGCTATCAATAGATGGGATTTTATTATAAAGGCAGGGGAAACCGAGTTATTCGTGGTCGTCGTGAAATCGTTTGTAAGTGGAGAACGCTTTGAAGTCGGGTGCTCGTCTGTCGTTGCTGAATTCGTCTTTTTGTTAGTTGTGACTAAATGGTTGGTGGATATGACTGTAAATTGTATAAAAAATGGACACCGTAGCTCACTTATAAGTTGAACTTGAGCTAAGAAACCCCCAGTTTCTTAGCTCTACACAAATATCTTGTTCTTGTTCCTCTAACTTGTTACAAAGATTCCTATAACTACCATTTTCCTATTTGCCCAAAGTTTAGCTAGTTGTATTTCGAAATAATTCAAATTTTGAATTTCACCGCTTGTAATGGAATGCTTCGAAGTCGGATAATCACTTGTGGCTGTGGCGGCGATTTTAGTTGGAGTAAGAGGAGTGGTGGTTGTGACTGTAAATTTGAGCCTAGTTCTGTTAACTGGAAAGTTCTGTTACTTTTAAAAGAAGCCCCATAAAATTCGATCGAAAAAAAGATCAAACGTTATCAAAAATACTTAATTTTTAGAAAAGTTAACTATTTTTATTATATGGAATCAATTTTTGAGAAATTTTAGACTCTCACAACGAAAGTTTAGACTCTCTCAACGAAAATTTAGACTCTCTCAACGAAAATTTAGACTCTCTCAATAAAGGATCTTTTTCAGAAGCTGGCAATTCTATGTAATTTTGAAAATTCGTAAAATGTCTAAAGATTTGTTATTTCTAGCTGAATTTAGTTGTAGAGCGGCTAGTTTTAAAGAAAAATTACTCCTCTTTTTGAATATAAAACTGGATAAGCTTTATTTATGTTCCAGCTTTTTCAATTACTGGATTTGTCAGCTCGATCGTGCGATCAGCGTAGAGAACAAATAGCTTTGCTTGAAATGACAATAAAACCCATCTTTTTGATGAATCTTCATGATAAACGCTTAATTTTAATTAAGAAAAGTTCAAATATTGATTTTACTATTTTACTATAGCTTTGCTTTCACTTTTCCTTTGTCTTTCCTTAGCCGCTTTCAAAATTAACAGAACTTTCCAGCCATCCTGTATATTTTTACAAATTGGTTTGATATGACATGCTTATTTTTCCTTATTTCTGAGTACAAGCAATCACGGAGTGACGACGAATATCTTGTTACTTGTTTCTAAAGAAAAGCTCAGCAGAAAGCCGTTTGTCTCTTGGAGATTCGATGCATTCGTCCAAGAAAACTAGAGTTTATAAATCTAAGAAATGGATCTTTTAACAGTACCTTTATTTTCCGCACATTGCCAACATTGAAAAATGATGGATAAGATGAGAAACTGCTGTCGTATGTCAATCTAAAGGGTTGATTGAATTCATTCCTAAGGCCAACTTGGGGGTAAATCACGATCAATGAGAAACCCACCGTCCATTCTCCACTAGTTGATCGTTTTTATCAAAGAGTTCGATCTCGAGATTGCCCGTTTCCACATAAACGACTTTCAAAGCCACATCCACATCATTCGAACCTGCAAATTTTGATGATTTGATGATTTAACTAGCTCACTAGGAATAGGAAAGGTGTAACCGTGAGATTTCGAGATCGAATCAATCTTACACCCGGAAATCGGCATTGGGGAATCAGAACCTGATCAAAGTTTTTCTATCTTCCCACCCCTTCCGTGTCATGTTTAGAACTGACTTGTTGGCCTAATGGCTAGTGAGCGCGTATACTAAACCATCTCCTTTTGTCGGTTCGGTCCTTTTTTTGGCCCTGATCGGCCCTGTTGTCAGAGATAACTGACCACAATAGTAGCTGTAGTCCCAATTGCTCGTTTGTCCGTGCGTAACACCGGGACCATTGATGAAAAATGAGCCATCGCATTCTTCTCTCACTCTTTCATACCAATCATCTGAAATTTGCCTAAAGAGTGGGAAAAACGTTAAAACAAGGTACATCCTTGGAATGAGCCGAGTGTCATGATTGGGGTGCATTTTGGAGGAACACGAATAGCATAGGCAGTGGAGATGAACATTTGGTGGTCAAAATCCTCATGAGCTCTGAAATGTTTAGAGTGGTAAATAATGAGTGTTATTCTGCCCATATTATATAAACTTTAGATTATTCCAAACGCTTTTTGGTAATCTTACTAGGGAAAGGCACGAACCTCCCGTGAGCTTTTATTTCCGGACCAGATACATCTTACAAAATCGAGTATGGAGATTCATAATCTGAAATCAAAATGTCCCAAATAAGCTCGCAGACGCATAAAAATTAAATTGAAATTTCGAGAGTTTTAAGGATTTTCAAGAGTTGAAGAAAAATGAATTGAAGCTTTAAAGGGCGCTTTTCAATCGACGGGATATAGGTACCGATGGCGTAGTGGATAATGGGAAGGCCTCTCTGGAGTAGGATAGGGTTCGATCTCGCTCTCTATGCTAACATTTCACCTTTTGTTTTGTTATATTGAATAGTCACAATCAGGGCTGGATGAGCAGCCCATAAGCCATGAATAGCCATGCCTGGCCTTGAATTTTGGCTCTTCGTCCAGCCCTGGTCCCAATGTAAAGTATTACATTTAAAGTAAAAAACAAAACAAAAGACCAAGAGCCGGGCCAAATCGCGACTTTAAAATCTAAAGAAGAATCTAAGGAAACATCTAGAGAAAAAAAAAGCCAAAAAACCAAGGGCGGGACCGAACCCCGATCCTACTGCCGGTAGGCCGCCCCATTATCCATTAGGCCATCGGTGTTTATATTCCGGCGATTGAAAGCTGCCTTTAAAGCTCCAATTCAATTTTCTTCAACTCTTGAAAGTCCTTTAAAGCTTCGAAATCTCAATTCAATTTTTACGCGTCTGCAAGCATATGTGGCAGATTTTGATTTCAGCTTATGAATCTCCATACTCGATTTTGATTTTGTATCCAGGTTTTAGAACGCCAAAAGATCGTTTCGGAAAACTCTAATAACTTGTTGTAGAATGCACCAATTTTGATGTTTTTAGATTCAAAATGATTGTAAGAGCTTAAATTTTCCTAAATTTTGAGCCGTTTTTTGCTTTTGCTTTTTTTCTGCCTTATTTAACACGGAATATAAAAGTGCCTGTGTTAATTTTTCGAAAATCTTGATTTTAGAAAAATCTGTTGATAGGATTTAAAAATAAAGTTCATATTCGTGATTTTTTGAGTTGAAGTTGAAGTTGAAGTGTTTTGAGTTCATTTTTGAGTTGAATGTGTGCGTATCACACGTTAAAATCGAACAGAAAACGTATTTTCGCGCGGATTTGCAATGGCCTTATGGTATCACAAGAAATCGTAGCGTTCGGATTTGCAATGGCCTTATGCTATCACAAGACATCGTATGGAAACTGTTTTTAAAGCTATGCTCAATAGTTTCACTCTTTTTAATCCTAGAAGACAATAAAAAGTTAAAATGTCAAGTTTTACTTCACCCTTCCCTGGACTATTGTTTCTTCCTTATAAAAGCGAGTTTTTCGGTGGGTGGCTGCGCGTGTGTGAGTTAGGGTCTAAAGTGTGTTCCTCGCGAATGATGCTTTCTTTAAAACGTGCGTTATAAAGGAAGGGCCGAAAACGCGAACTTTAGTGAGCGTTTCCGCTGGTTTTACGAGATTAGAGCAAGTCTAAGCTATGTTTTAAATTTCAGCTCATTTGGCTAAGTATTCAATGTTTTGGAATCTTTAGAGTGACAATCGGTTGTAGGTCAACCCAAATTTTAGGACATTAGGATTTTAGGACAGGCACTGTAGAAAGTAGAGTGTGTTCCTCGCGAATAATGCTTTCTTTAAAATGTACGCTTAGGAAAAATTACCGTACTTTTAGAGAAAATTATTGCAAAAGAATTGGCGCAAAAATCACGAGCGTCGCCTTATAAAGATTAAAGACTCCCTTTAAAGATATTCAACCGTTCAATTGATTTGGTGGGAAACTCCCTTCAAATGAAAAGATATTCAATTTACTCGACGTGTAAAGAGGATTACTCGTAGTTACTCGCCGATTAATCGAGTAAATCGAGTAATATTACTCATGCAAATTTTACTCAAGTAATTACGCGAGGAACACACTCTATTAGTGTCTGTGAGTGAGGGTGTGCGTGTGTGTTAATTCTATTTGTGTGCAAGGAATTCCCACTTTGTTTTCAGTAAAAACAGCTTCGAGTCGGTCGATCTTTCGTTGGGCACAGGAATCGATCCACTGTAAAACTCGTACTCGCACCCATCCTTAATGCGCGTGTTTGAGAGTAGTTTATTGTCACAAAAACAAACTTGTTCATTTCTGGGCAACGAGAACCAATGATATCCGGTCGCCATCAAACTCCCGTCTTTGTTGAGTGTGTCCGTCACATAAAGAACCCAAAAATCGGTGTCTCTCGAGTCGATTTTCATCCTCACATCACCTCTTTGAGTGAGTTCCGAGGTCAAAACGATGCTTGGTGGGTCGTCTGAAAGAGGAAGGAAATACAGAGTAAGACAAAAGTTCGGAGCCACCTCGTTTTTAGGGCCAAACAGAAATCTTTTTGCAAAACGGTTTAAAAATTCGAAATCTGGATAAATTTCGGTCTAGAAAACATCTTTTCGCAAATACAAAAGGCACTTGACATTGACATTGTGCCTATGACACTTGTGCGTAATTAGTGAATTTACATCTACTACATATTAGGGTCTTAAATAGCTTCAAACTTTTCTCTGTTGATTGGAAAAGATCTAATCAAGGCCCTATGGGGATTATTTTTGGTCTCTTGAAAAGCTACTATTTTGAATATGTACTTTAAAGGCTTCATCCATAGTCAGAGAAGGCGAAAAACAACAAAAAATTGGCGTGGCCTAGTGGTTCAAAGCGCTTCACAGAGAAGAGATTTGTTGGTTTGATCCCCCGCGCTAGTGTTTTATTTAAAAACAATTTGATCATGAGTGGCTAAGGTTTAACTATTTATAAAGGCGAACAATATCTTAACCAGCTGCGCTGGGCTACGCGGCCGCCCGAAGAAGTTGGCTAAAATCTCCTATATTTAGTGGATAGATTATGCTAGTTTTAAATTTCCTACAAAATTATACATTAACCATGAAAATCGGTGCACTGGCAGCTGAGGGCTGAGATCTATGGTCGGAGTACGCAATACTACTGTTTCCATTGCGCGTAGGAAACATATGGCCTCAATGGGGAACTCGACGACCCCGAAAACCTAGAAAGGCGTTGTTTTTGGAACTCTGGCTTCTCGCGTTCTCGAGATGAAAGTTGCGTACGGACGGACGGACGGACAGACTTAATTATATAAAATAGATTTAGAAAATGGTAACAAATATTGATTTCATTTGCTTACTATTAGATGCTGCAAATGAGATAATGTTTATACAAATACCTACCGTAAATACTGTAATTGGACCCCACCCCTCTAAGAGTACCCCCGCCCTAATAATATCCCACCCTAGAGGGGGAGGGAAAAAATAGTACCTCACCCCTCTAATAGTACCCCACCTAACGCGTAATTACAAACAGAGACGGCAATCGAGGACCTCTTGGAGCCGCTCGCATCGACGGGATTTCAAGGACATCGAGGAATTGATGATCAAGAAAATGATGAATACATTGATTCGGATGTTTCTCTTGATTTCGCTTGTTAGTTGTTTTTGTTTTGTTTTGCTGCTAAACTTTCAAATGGTTAAAACCAATAAAAACTAAAGAAAAAGTTTGCTTTTGAACAAATTATTTGAATGTATCCTGATTTGGTAACTTAAATAGTGGTGTAAAACAGTACCCCACCCCTCTAATAGTACCCCACCTTCTAATAATACCCCACCCTAGAGGGGGAGGGAAAAAATGGTACCCCATGGGGTCCAATTACAGTATTTACGGTATCCAATATGCGGCTCAATCTAGTATTCGAATTTTGAAAGCATTTTGAATTTGGTATTGAAATTTGTCTTTTGGAAACATTTGAAAATTCCAAAAACAGTTCCGTCGCTTGAATTGTTGCTAACACTCACCATCAGGCGGAAAAAAGTTTTTCAGACGAAATGAGGCCGCGTAGTACAAATTGGTAAAAGAACCCAGGTAGTCATATTCTTGTCGGATTGTCCATTGGTTGTTTTGTCCTATTGGAACCACATAACGACAACATATTGCTGTATAAGCCTCATCTGATCGTTGGCTAAATGATAGTTTTCTATAATTCACTGATGGACGTAATTTTTTGCCGCTAGTGGACGAATTCTAAAAACTGAGATTTATCTATGGAATGGGATCGGTAAGCTACTTTCGATAGCCTGGATATGCCGTGAGAATATGCCTCTCTCGCGAGACATCTGAAGCTTTTTTTGGGTGAGCGAATTGTATAGTTCATCATAGTTGGTACGGTCAAAGTGAGCATTTTTTGCACTGTATATTTCTAAAACCAAACCACACATTCAAGGTAATCCCCATTATTATCTATTATTCGTTGCCATTTATTGGGTGGGGATCCCCTTCTCCCAGAAATTCTTTGGCTGCGTGTCAAAGAAGTCGCGAAGCCAATTTCGACCTCGATGCGATCTCCGAAGTGCTCCCCATCGAGTTCTGCAGCCAGCTACCGGAAAAGATGAAAATCAAAGGGAGCAAGGTTAGGGCTATGCGGTGGATGCGGAAGAACTTCCCAGCCCAGCTCCTTCAATTTTTGTTGAGTCAAATTTGCAACATGAGGTCTTGCATTGTCATGCAAGAGAGGGACCTTTCCATGAGTTGGCCAATTTCTTTGTGATTTGTTCAACGACCTGATCCAGCTGTTCTGAATACAGGGAAGTTGTGCCAGTCGTGCCTGGGGAAAAGGTTGGCAAAAAGATTCTTTTCAGGCTTCGAAGCATTTAATTCTTCATGATTTAACAAAACACATTGGAAAATACAGAAAGTATAATCTTTATAAAAAACAACTCTTACAAAGACCCCTCAAAGTGAGTAGCATGACAGAAGAAACGCGACTCCCAACTTTGGAAGCTCATATAAAAAAGTTGGGAGCTCTAGTCGACTATCAAATTGGCACCGCTACAGGAGGCAATATCGAAATTCATCTCCGGAAAATTTAAGGAGATCGGGGCGTTTTAGCCATTCTTGGATATTGAATTCCGGGTAATTGTGCCGCACCCTGTAGACAGACAGACAGGTCGGGACTGTCTGAGACACCAGTCAGCTTTACCGCCGGCACCGCCATAGTTTGACGTCATAGTTTGACGCACCGCCATAGTTTGACGTCATAGTTTGACGCACCGCCATAGTTTGACGTCTATTCACTAGGGGCATGCGCAAGAACCCGTAGCTCAATGGTAGATGCTAATCCTAGATTTGGTTAATCGAGACTTATCGACACCGAGTCAACTACGGTCCTTGTTGAGGTCTTTGAGCTCGACTCCCTATCGACTAAAATAAACCTCTCAAAAGTCTGGATAAAATCGGTATTCGTATTGGTTCTGGTATCGATAAGCTTAAATAAAGCCTCGACAAGATTGCTAGAGTCTAGCTAGTTCTGCATCCAGATCCTAGAGGTGGGGGTTCGATTCCTTCCCAGATAAAACTCTCTTTAAATCTGAAAGCCCTGTCGTTTTCGAAACCACTCTTTTTTTTCTTTTATTTGACAACTTCCAAGACTATCTTACGTTATAGAATTCTGTTTGCAGGCCTTTGGATCTTTCAACTCATCATTGAGCCAAGCTTTTGTTTGCCTGGAATTGGAATAATCTGTCCAACAAAGGTCGACGATAGCTTCATCACAATCGAGACAACCTTCGGCCACCGGAATACAGGTTTGGTTTTTTCCATAGCCTAAATTTATGAGCTGTTTTTTCGTCATCGCTAAAAGCCATCATATTTCCGCAAGAAAAACGCACCAATCCATCCAGGATACAGTAAAAATCCCGAAGAGTTGGGGCTGATTTCAAAAGTTCCGCTGCAGGAAAGATCAGCATCAATTTGACGATCCAAAACACCGAAGGATACGGTAGTATCCTTAAGTTTATTATTGGTTTTTGGTGCTTTCTGATAACAGAAAATCACTAGTTTTTCCCATACCTCTTTGGTTACTTTTGGCCGACCATCTTGGCTCTTTACCGTTTCCTCAGATCGACGACAAGTAGCAACCACAATCAAACAAGCAATCGTCAAAAGTAAACCGCGAACGATTTGCATGATTGAAGAGCTTCTGGAAGGAGAAGTCAATTAACTCTCTGCTACTCTGCAATAGAATTAAAATTAAGCTTCATTCGAGTCGAATAAATGGAAAACTAGAATCTCTGTTGACACTAAAAGACCCATACGATGAAACATATAATTTTCAAAGTATCAAAGCTCTCAATTAGAACACATAAACGTGTGAAAGTGGTGACGAGAGAGAATCATTATCTTTCTCCAACAAGGTCCTGCCCAATAGCATTTTTAATGCTGCTTTCGAACACCTTTGATAAGTTTCTCACTTTTCGATGGGTAATCCATAGCCTAGCTATTAATCCACGGTATTAACAGGCAAGAAAAAAGGGAACGAAGAAGGGGACTTTAATCGGAGTGGTCTCTTTTGCCGAAAACCATTGATACGTATCAAAATGGAGTCATACTCTCGTTGCTATATGGAATAGTTGGTTGTCAACTATTGGGTTGGGGAGAATGGGTCGGCGCCGAAATTTAAAGAAACTTTTTGCACCCATAAAACCTTCTTTAAATACACGTTTTGTTTCATCAAAATGGTCCACTATTTCTTTACAAAATGGCTTTTGAGAGATTCCACAAAGCTTTTCTTTTTGGGATTTTATGGATTCCCAAACACAGCTAATCAAAATGACAAAAAGTCCGACTCATTGCTTGAACAGTTTCTTCCACATAAACCTCCTTTGGTGTTTATATAAAAAAGATAGAGCACACTCAATTACATAAGTTACCAAATTTTCAGGAAGATCCCTCCAACCGTTTACTCTAGATGATAGTTTATCGATTTTGTGAAAAAATGATCCTTTGTTGAGTTGAGGCGCTGTTTGAGTTCTCTTTTAAATATTATTTTGTAGAGAATTAGTTACCCTTCTACGGATATCAAACGCATATCATTTGACAAAGTCTGCTATAAGTTTTAGAAATTTCTTTGATTTTCTTTGAGAAATTTCTTTGACTCATTCTCCCCAACCCAATAAATAACCGGACTTTATCACTAAAAATTGGTTTTGCAAATGTTGAATGCGCTAAATGAAGTACGGTTTTGCATCATTGAAAAGATCTATATCTCCTCTGCAAAATGGTTGTTCGCAATTTAGAAAAGCTTTCGTTTTTGGGGTTTTTCGGGAGCGCAAAGGTGAGCTCCATAATTTCAACTCAAATCAAAGCTGACAAGGTCTAAGAATGGAAATAACAGCATAAATACCTTCTTTTGTGTATTAAGCTGTCCAGAAAGTCTTTTCATTTTGTACTTTCGTTTAAAATCAACAAATTTACCAATTGATCTACCATTTGTTTCATTAGAAAGACCAATTATTAGTTTGTCAACTAAATAACCGGACTTTTTCACTCAAAATTGGTTTTACAAATGTTGATTGCGCCAAATGAAGTACGGTTTGCACCATGGAAAGGTTGGCGGGAAAATAATACGAATTTTTAACTTGTGCTCTTGGGAAAGTAATGACAGACAAACAGAGAAAACCGCGATAGTAACAGAGAAGCAGATGTGTTTGCTTACACAAGCATAATATTATTTGAAAACATTTGTTCATCTGTTATCAAAAAATGACGGAACAAACATCCCTTATTCGAGCTGCTTTACTCTATGACTAAAGCTTGGAAAATCTGCCCGTGAATCGCATAATTCTATTTCAAAGGCCTATGGCGAATGTAGTATTAGCGAAAGCCAATGTTATCGATGGTTTGAGCGCATTGGAAAGACCAATTACTAGTTTGTCAACTAAATAACCGGACTTTTTCACAAAAAATTGGTTTTACAAATGTTGAATGCGCCAAATGAAGTACGATTTGCACTAAGGAAAGATCTATATTTCCTCTGCAAAATGGTTGTTCGCAATTTAGAAAGGTTTTCGCTTTTGGGGTTTTTCAGGAGCGCAAAGGCGAGTAGGCAAAATTGACAAGAATCGAAGGTTGGCAACGTTTTTTGATGGGAACTGACACTAACATCCTATGCCAAAGAAAGATCAATCTCTGATACATTTTCAGTACAATTTCCAGTAAAATCCCTCCAGCCGTTTTCGACAAATTTCAAGTCATTCAGAGCGGCTTATATGATCAAAATCCTTTATTTGAGGACTTTTGTTCAAACTAAAATTACCTACCCGCGACCCCATAAATCTCCAAAAAAATCCATGATTTTTTTTTCAAAAATAACGTTTCAAATTTTAATGCCGATAAAATATGAGTAGGTTTTAGGCTTAGCTCTATCCATAAACCCCCACAAGAAGGTCAAAAGTCAAGATTTCGAGGAATCAGGCGGTGTCATTCTATTAGAGAGTGTCATTCTATTAGAGAGTATCATGCTAATAGAGAGTGTCATTCTATTGGGTTGGCAAATTATAAACGATCGTTTTTTGGTAATGTGTTCTCTGAAAAAACGGCTTATCCAATCAAAAAACGGTTTTTCAATTTTTTTTAATTTTCAAAATTCAATTCAAAAGCCCTATCCTTAATCTACAAAATGGCTTTTTTGAATTTTTGAAAAATGTTTTTATTTTAGAACTTTTTCAGGCATTTTAATGTAAGAGTTCAAAATCCTGGTTTCTAGCATTCGTGAGCTAATCTATTTTTGAGTGATTGCATACTTTTTAAAATAAAAAGCTTCATCGATTACATCGTTTCCCAAAATTTCAGAACAATCCGTTTCCCAAAATTTCAGAACAATCAGAACGATCGAGCCGTTCTCTTTCTTTTAATATTTTTTTTAATCTTGCTTAAATTCAAACGAAAATGGATTAAATTAGCACAAAAGTGCATTTTGAGCCTAATTTGAAAATCAACCTTCCGAAGATTGGATTGTTCTGAAATTTTGGGAAACTATGTAATCGATGAAGCGTTTTATTTTAAAAAGTATGCAATCACTCAAAAATATATTAGCTCATGAATGCTAGAAACCAGGATTTTGAACTCTTACATTAAAATGCCTGAAAAAGTCCTAAAATAAAACATTTTTCAAAAATTCAAAAAAGCCATTTTGTAGATTAAGGATAGGGCTTTTGAATCAAGCAAACCGTTTTTGATTGGATAAGCCGTTTTTTCGGAAAACAAAAACGATCGTTTATAACTTGCCAACCTAATATTAGGGAGTGTCATTCGATTAGAGAGTGTCATTCGATTAGAGAGTGTCATTCTAATCAAGCATTTACGGTAACTTACTTTTTCTTTTCAGAGATCTCAAAATATTCAATTCAAAATCAAAACAGGAAATTAAAATAAGGTAGCTTTAGATGGAGAGAAAGAGGCATTTTTCATGAGATAAAGCAAATTTAAAGCATTTTGTAAGAAAGAAACATCAGAAAACGTCTATAACAATATTAGTATGTACAAAAAAGAAAATAAAAGCTAGCAAGTAAGAAGAGTTGATGAATTTGAAGGGGGCAATAGCATTCGGAATCGTTGAAGTTGGGGTGTAGTTTGTAGAGGAATTTCTTGATATTAGATATCCCTCAGATTTTTTGATTCGAACTTTCAACAAAGTGCCATTGAGATTTCTCTCCCAGGAGTGATAAATCCAAGTGATTGGAAATCATTTTGACCGATTGTATGTTTGCATTTGTATCATCTCCTGACTACCGACTTGAGGTTCTATGAAAAAAAGCAAAAAAGTTTTTTTGTCAAACCTAGGACTTTTTTTAGATCCACCTTAGAAAAATAATTAAACTTTCTATTAAAACAAAGCGTGAGATGATTGTAAATCTGAGTTCTGAGTTACCATTAAAATACCGAGTCCGGGTAATTATGGAAGACCTTGTATAAGGACATTGTCTGATATATTGCAGTTAAAAAGTCTAGGAAAAAGAGGAAAAAAGAGGGTACTAAAGAGGAAAAAGCGCGAGACGATAATTTCTGGTCACCCTGTAGTAAGATACTTGGATAGTAGCTATGGAAAGCAGAAATGCTTTCCAGGTAGCGTGTAGCGGCTCTTTTTGTGTTTGACTAGGCAGTTAAGGAAATATTTCATTGCATAGGTAACTACTCGTATAGGTTAGAAAAGATTGCTCCATTAAGCTCCAGCAATTCTAATGAAAAGCCGAATAACAAATAACTTTATTACTTGTCAATGTTAACAAAAGAAACATTTGGTCTTTTGGGTATCAGTTAACTAAAACTAAATACCGTAAATACTGTAATTGGACCCCATGGGGTACTATTTTTTCCCTCCCCCTCTAGGGTGGGGCACTATTAGAGGATGGGATACTATTTTACACCACTATTCAAGCTACCAAATCAGGATACATTCAAATAATTTGTTCAAAAGCAAACTTTTTCTTTAGTTTTTATTGGTTTTAACCATTTGAAAATTTAACAGCAAAACAAAACAAAAACAACTAACAAGCGAAATCAATAGAAACATCTGAATCAATGAATTCATCATTTTCTTGATCATCAATTCCTCGATGTCCTTGAAATCCCGTCGATGCGAGCGGCTCCAAGAGGTCCTCGATTTCTGTCCGAGCATTTCTCATCGCCTGTAAGTACAATAGATTAAAGATAATTGAATCGATTAAATCGACGATGGCCTTCCCAAATTCGCTCGGCAGCTTTTGACAAGTTGTTGTTGGTGCCCTCAAAGAAAGTTGGTGGCGCCTCAAGAACGACTCCATCCAGCCATGGCTTCTTTTGAAAGAAATTTCAGCTTTTTCGAATCGATTGGCCGATTCATTCCAAATAATCCGGCGTGTCACTCGTTCCTTGTCGGCGCGACGATCCCGTATCCATTCAGCCAAACCGATATCGATCTTCTCCGAGTTCAAGTGGCGTCCGGCTCCATTGAGTCCCTTGCGTTTTCCGTGGACTTTCTGAAGTATTTACGGTAGGTTATTAACCTAATAATATGTATAGGTAGGAAAAGGTTGCTCCATTAAGCTCTAGCAATTCTAATGGAAAGCCGAATAACAAGTAACTTTATTACTTGTCAATGTTAACAAAAGAAACATTTGTTCTTTTGGGTATCAGTTAACTAAAGCTAA